AGACCCCAAACATCCCTTGTTAGACTGAAGGCAGCCCTCAAAAAATGCCAACCCTTAGTTTTCACTTGCTTTTTTGACCAGAGAAAAATAATAGAAACGTTTTCTGTTGCAAAAGAACTCAGAAAAAAAACACAACCAATCAGAATGCTTTTTACCACTGTAAATTCCTATTTGATATCTCTGGGTTTATTTTGTGAACAATATTTGTTCACCTGGCAATGCTAATGTTGCATGGCACTCTGCAGCACCCTTGAAAGGATTTTACAACACCCAAGAGAGCCATAGCACCTGGGCTGAGAATTACTGCTGTAGAAGGAAGCAGTTGGATCTATGCCAGTTTGTTTTGCAATGTAAAGAAAAGTTATTTTGTTGTTGTTGTTTAATGAAATTCTTTATTTTTCCTGGCAGAATTTATTGTCAATTGGAGAACATTTAGAAGGGCATACACCAATGAGGTAAAACTGCATTTCAGAGGAAAGAGATTTATATTTGGACTGCTTTAAAATGTACTTTGTTTTTATTTGCATTTTTTAAAATTCAAAATCCTTATCACTATCTGGAAGAAAAGATGCAAGACCGTGCATCACACACCTGAGACCATCACAATATCCAACCTAAAAAAAAAAAATCAAGGAAGGCAAGTTAAAGTTCATGGTATTTCTAATATAAAAAAAAAGCAAGAAGCTGTGTTTATTTGAAATCTCTTCCAGCTTCTTCATGCTCCACAGGGGAATAAAAATAGGCTTTAAGTCCAGGTAGAACTCATTAGTTAAGCAGGGACTAAGACACTTAAGGAAGATTTTGAATTTCAGGTATAATAAACATATAAAACATAAGTGTGTTATTCTGCTTTTGAGGACAATAATTATTAAGAAGTTAGGATCTTAACAGACAGGAGATCCATAACAAAGAATATTAATTTTTTACCTCATAGAAAATGCAACTTAATGACAACTTACTATGATAAATTGTCAGCTCTGTACAAATAACAAGGCAATGAAGTGGACATGAATATAAAAATCATATTAGTTAAGTGTAAGCTAGATTTAAAAAAAAAGCCTATTTAATGTTACTGATGAAATTATACCAGGTTGTGTTACACCTTATAGTTTATACTAACTATAAACTATGAAAGAATTACTCAACAAAAGAGAGACCATATTCTAGTTCTGAATCCAAACCATATGTTGTTGTACTTTCCTTATACATCTAGAACACTTAACTTTGTTTACGTAACGTATAAAAATACTATAAAACACTGCTTACATTTAACTGGAAATTTCAACTTGTGTCAAACTGTTTTTGGATACAAGTAGCAAAAAATGTAGTGATATAAGAAGTCTCTTTCACCATTTCTGAACTTAACAAAAGGCAAAAACTAAGAATCTGAACAAACAAATTAAGTCAGTTTATCACATATATATCCTTCTGGTTTTCAAAAGTAGTACCAAATTTAGTCTGATGCCTCTTTCAGTTTGCAAATCCACAGGTTACTGTGATTCAACCTTTCTTGGTGAAGAGGAACTAAAACAATAACTAAAACATACTGATTTAAACCAGTGGCTGGCAATGTTTTCCAGCAGCAGACTGAAACAACCCAACTTGGCTCCTAGGTAAGAAAGTGCTAAGATCCTACTACCACTTCTGCTCACTGCTTGGCTTCAGTGTAGGTAAAGCTTCCCCCCTGCCAAACCCTACTTCTATGGACTGAATCCAATGGCTCCACAGGCTGGATCCAGCCTGCAGGTCATAGGTTGCTAACCCCCAATTTAAATTCATCCATCCATCCTCACAAACACTGACCTTACATTCCAAGCAGCCTTAAGAAAAAGAAACATACCAGTAAGCTCATTGATTTTCTTGAGTAGTTGCTGAATGTCATCTTCTACCTGCTTGATCTGCCTTGAGTACGTACTCTGGCCCTGAAAAAGAAAAACCAAGCTGTATGATTTTCAGTAACATAAAAACATCTATATAGTTTATGAACACTAAAGCAGCCATTAACATTTATCAAGATGTTCTACGTGCAAAAAAACTGCTAACTGATGATGAGTGTCTTTAGGGGGCGTTTTAATGAACTAAACATCACTTGTTGAAACAAAGTGGAGCGCTGCACTGTTACATTTGTGCTAAGGATCCTCCATGAGGAAATCTCCCCTTTCCATCAAAACTTAAAATTTTCAAAACTCTTCTCCTAATGGGCAAAAATTAAAAAAGAGGAAAAGAAAAAGAGCTAAAGACATAGGAGAACGAGGGCTGCATGTCCTTGAGTGATCCTTTTTAGTACCGCCAATTTTTATTTGCGAGTCTGATCTACGCTGCTCTTTCAACAAGCCACCAGTTGGTGCTGGCTGTCTGCTGAGAAAGTTACAAACCATAAGCCAAGTCCTTCCATCTAGCGGGCTGCTCCCAGCATCCAGGCCCGCACAGCACAGAGATGTCTTGAAACCCGACTCACTTACACTCAGACCCCTTCACACCAATGTGGGAGCACGAGGGGAGTCAAAATGGACAAGCTACTGTTATGTTCAGGCCCCGCCATACTGTCAGAGCCAACAAGGCAGCCTGACTGGCCTTGCGCCATGCCTCCCCCGGACGGGGCCAATGCCCACCAAGTACAGCTACAAGCCCCCTTCATGACGGGGCTACAAAGAGCGCATCTGTGATTGCTTCAGACAAATAAAATACCAAACGGGAACAGGAACGAAGGTCAAAGATTTAAAATGAGAGCAACGGGGGGAGGGGAGGACTCACATAGGTCTTCAGCAGGGCGATGTCGCCTTCATCCAGCGCTGCGGGAGGACACGCAGGTCAGCAGCCGCTCCCCTCCCCTGTCCCTTCACGCCCCCCTCCCC